GGAGCAGCCCAGAGATCCAAAAGAATACAGAAGTCCGGAGGATCTGAGCCGACATCAGTATACGTCGATGTTTCGAAAAGCTGCCTGGAAGCGGTTTCAAGAGGTCTTTAAGCTCTACAAGATTGACTTTCACCAGGGTCCCATCGGACACGAACGTAGAAAGCCGACTGCGCTTTTTACCACTATGGAAGTTTTGCTGCAGCTAGACGGCATCCATGGAGCTCCTGAAAATCCACCACAAGATCTGCGTGAGCAACCTCTACAGCAACGAATTGAAGCTTCCAAAAGATGGGCGGCATGGGCGCCCGGGCTCAAACAAGCACTGGTGGTAGCCATTCGACAACATCTATAAGAATTGGAGTATGGAAGAGCAGCACAGAACAAGGTGCGGAGCACTTTCATCAAAGAGCCGGACATGCTTCAATACGATCACTTGAACATGGCCCAGAATTACCTAATAATCAATTTTCAGTGCAATCTCTTGAACCTCATTCCGTGCAACAACAGAATGAAACAATGGCAATGTTTTCAGGTGGGTATCAATCACAACTGCCAGAAGGAAATCCCAGACAACCAACTGCGAAAGCACTGGGGCCTGTAGCCCTTGAGCAGTGGAAACGACATTTCCTCAATGATCACCTACCGTCGTACTGTTCCCACTGCATCCGTGCTCAAGCTAGGAGCAAGCTACATCGACGTGTTCAACACCCAGATGCATTCACTTTGAGCGTTGATCTCTCCGGAAAGCTGACACCGGGAGAAGACCAACAAACCAAAGGGTGTAAATACCTGTTGGTGGGATGCTACATGTATTCGGTCACCCGTGAGGGTCCCTCATTGGTTCAAGTGCCTGGACAACATGATGAGGACGCTGATCAACCTTTTCCGGGACAACATGATGAGGACGCTGATCAACCTTTTCCAGGACTGGATGTGGAAATGCCTGATGAAGAAGAACAGCAAGATCCACCAGGGGACGTTTTCCCTGAAGAAGGTCTGGAGCAAGATGCTGAAGATTCACCGGCTACAAAAAAAGCGAAGGCAATGAATGAGACTTGGATGAAGCTCATCGAGCAGGCGGAGAATGTGACAGTTCGTCAGCTCACCTCCGTAAAACCTGTGAAGAGCCGGTCAGTGAAGCATCTTCTTCCTGCACTTTCCAAAATTCATGCTCGCATTCGAGCGCAAGGCTTGCCCATCTATCGTGTTCATTCAGACCGAGCACGTGAATTTTCATCAGCAGAGATGCAGAACTGGGCTTTGGATTGCAACATTCTGACGACGGACGCGTAAAATCTGAAATGGGCATGGGAAAAAAGTCCATCCGAACTTTGATCACCGCGGGTGTCTGCACTCTCCAATGGCCTTTTGCGGCTCGTCACATTGGCGAACGTCGCTTGTGAAGTCAGCTCAGTCTTCTTGGTTGGCCAGTGGGTCGCGTGCTGCGTTTTGGAGCAAAGGCCTATGCACTGAGAAAGTCTTGGCAATCCAGATACGCTCCATGGCGTGAGGTCCGAGAAGCAATGATCATTTTGGGTCCTGACGTACATGCCTCACTGACAAACACAGGCTACTTTGTCAAATCGGTGGACGCTGGAAGATGTTTCTACACTGTCATCCCGGAAGCTCAACAACCAGCAGTGGAAGATCAGGCGCTCTATCTTCCAGAACGTCTTGAGCAAGTTCCACAAAGGCGTCACAGGACAAAAGCTCCGCTACCAGCAATTTCAATGTTCGACATTGAGGGGAAGGAGAAGGTTGTGAATCAATTCCCTGAGATGTTTGAACTTCAACACCCTCCAACTATGGGGGTCCAGTGGTAGCTGGTCAATTGGCACTGTGGCATCTTCGATTGCAAGCAGCTGGACTCCGAAATCAATGGATGTTGAAGCAGAGGACTGGTGGATCGGAGGAGGGGATGTGGAGGAGGCGCCTAATAGTCGGGATGGTGGCTCACGCCCGACAGCCTCACATGAACCAAGTGCCACAAGGATGTCAAGTCCAGCTGCACTTAGAACCCTTCACGTCAACTTGGCGCACTGTGTCGAGGACGAGGTGGCGGTGCTGGATGGAACAGCTGCTGAACAATCTCTTTGGCTTGGAAATGTGACAGTAGCCATCAAGATGAAGGCCATGATAGAAGAGCAGCTGACAGAAGCACAGGCGAATGGTGCTGAAGAACTTCAAAAGAAGTTGGAGCAAGAATTTTTGGTGACAAAGACGATCTGATCCGGAGGCGTGGAGTGACTCAATACGTCAAGAGTATGACCAATTGGTCAACAAGAAACGGGCCGTCAGGCAGATCACAACTGCAACAGATGGCAGGTGAGATGAAGCCGCCAATTGAGATACTTACAGGAAAGATGGTCCTGCGGCAACTATGCGGGCCCCGACAACAACGAGCACTACGCTGGTGGAGTTGGACGGCCAACAAGTTCGAGCCCTGGTGCGAATTGGAGCTCTGAAGCCATGGCAGATTGGATGCACAGATATAAGAACAGCCTTCTTGAACGCACCTAGGCGTGACAGCAAGCGCCTGATTGCGATGGAGATTCCATCGGTGTGTCGAAAGCTTCAGCTGGCAGGGCATCAAGATCTATGGCTGGTGGACAAAGCCTTGTATGGGCTCACAACATCACCCCGTGATTGGTGGCTGCATCGAGATGAAGTTCTACCAGCCATCAGCTGGAATCGACAACGTGAAGGCCGAGATGTGCTGGGATGCTTCAAGAAGACTCCAGACGAAAACACCTGGAGGATTGAGGAGGTCGACAAGATCTCGGGGGAGGTTCATTGGACAGGAATGATGCCAGTGTACGTTGATGATCTTCTCTTTGCAGCAGAAAGAGGAGCCTTGGATGCCTTGACAACAGCGGTGGAGAAAGTTTGGGCGATTTCCAAGCGGGAGAAACGGGGGATTGAAGCGGCCTCCGACAACGACGTCTATGTGATCAGCCAGAAGATGTATATGAGCAGGAGGTGGTGAAGCGCTTTGGAATCAACCAGGCGACAGACTTTCCACATGTGCATCTCACTGAAGATGATGAAGTTCCAAGTGGAGAGATAAAGCAGGCCGATGTGAAGCTGGCGCAGTCCATGGCAGGTGTTCTGCTTTGGCTCACCACAAGAACCAGGCCTGACATTGCCATGACGGTCTCTTCAGCCTGCAGACTTGCAACAAAAACCCATGCAAGTCCGTTGAAATCTCAAAGGCAGTGATGCAGTATGCGCTTGGAGTTCAAGGTGGCCTACATTATCCTTGTGGAGTCCCGCATGAGACTTGGGGCAAAAGGGACAGCTGCACATTGAGCGGCATGATCGTCTGCTTGAAGTCTACGCAACATAGCATATGGTTCTGGCAGCCGTCATCGTAGCCTTCAGGGTCTGGTGGTGTACGTCGCCGGAGCTCCAATCAGCCGGGTATTGTCACAGCAAAAATGTGATGTACAGCACGGCCGAAGCAGAGCTTGTGAGATATTGCGAAGCCTTGTGCGCAGGTCGCGCAAAACAAGCCTTGATATGCTCAATGCTCAAGGAGCCTGTGGGGCAGAACTCGTTGGAGCGTGTATCTGTGGTGACAACATGGCTGCGATTTCAACGGCGCATGGAACAGGAAATGCCACTTGGAGGACGAGACATTTGTGAGTGAGATCATCGTTCCCCAAGGAGGCCGGATGGTGCTTGGAAGCGGTTACATCTTCAAGGCACAGAATTGGTGGCAGACGGGCTCACCAAACCACTAGCTGGTCAAGCTTTCTTCAAGTTTGTGGATGACCTGGGCTTTGCCAGAGCAAGAGCTGAAGAATCCAACGGGGAGTCCGCTGGACATGCAACAGGTGGAGGAGGAAGTAGTGCAGGGATCAGAGCGATGGCTCTTGGAAGCGTGCTCCTGTCGACAGCTGAAGGCGCGCCAGATGTGAACGAAGCTGGCGAAGAGTTCTCTTTGATTTGGACGACTGGACTTCTTTTGGTGGCTACGGGGGCAGTCTATGCAGGGCAACTTTTTCATAGCGCTTCGAAGTGTTGCTTGAAAAGACCGCGAGAGTCCAAGGAGTCTGGCCATAGACCGAGTTTGAGGAGGATGCCAGCTGAGTCATCTGATGATGAAAGCATCTTGGTGGTGTCTGAAGCGGAGGAATCGGCGTCTGACACAAAGGCCCCAGGACGTCGTGAAGGAGCATCCAGTGAAAAGAAGAATGGAAAGGCGGGCGTTAGCGCTGCGGCTGGATCTATGTCGCGAAGTCGAGATCAGATGCCGGTAGCAACTGGGCCATCATCAAATCCTTTGAGTTCACTGACCCCTGAGCAGGGCCCTCCTACATCCAGACCTTGCTCTACGTCCATGTCTTTTAAGGAAACGGTCGGGCACCGCAGAGCTGGCAGCGAGCAGCTGCGTCTTCGGTGCTGAGCGGTGCTGCTGTGATGGATGCTTCAGCGGCTGCGGCTGAGCGTGGGTCGCTGGCGAAAAGGCCGATAGCGACATCCAAAACCCATGGAACCGTTTTCAGCGGCAGAACCGGCGAAAGGGCTAGTCACCTGCAATAATGGCTGCAATGTGCCATAGCAGCCGCCAATTTGGCACACAGCCTTGAGCCTGGACCTTTTGTTTGCCAATTTGGGCAAAGGGGGGTCCGAGAGGGATTGCAAATGCAGTATCTGTTCTTATCAGTGTGACCACTGATTTGGCATGTGCACTAACCTATGTATCCTGAGGCTTTTTGTGCCCAAAGGAAAAAGGGGTGTCTAACCTCAAGAAACACGAAAAATGCCGCGCCCCAAATGGAGCCCAAAGGAAAAAGGGGTGTCTAACCTCAAGAAACACGAAAAATGCCGCGCCCCAAATGGAGCACCCTGATCAAGCACCGGCCTTTACACTTACCGTAAGAACCCCTTAGTGTGGACACACTGTTTGGGAAAAAAAAGGTACCAACAAAGAATCAGTTTCCAATCCGACTGGTTTGGGCGGTTTGAGATCAGGGAGATGCCCTAGGGCGGACCTTTTAAATGCCGATAGGCACATGAAAGGGAGGGCCCAGCAGCAAATATCCACATTGGTGGAAGAAACTTTGTTGAAGGCACGTGTTTACCTGAGCCCCAGACGTTTCTCATGGTTAAGCAAAGCCAGCGGCCTGACAAAAATGCACAGGGCTGACGAAGTTACTTTTCCAAAGTCATGTGCCAAGGTCTTGCGGGCAAACGGCGGATAAAGCCACAGCGCGCTTTCCCCTGTTCTGAGGTGGAGACCATGCCAGCGGGCCTCGTCATGCTGTGTTGCAAGCAGTGTTAAATGAGCCGGGCCATTGTCCGAATAGAAGGCCGAACAAGCACGTTTTCAACATGTTCAGATATGTTCAGCCAAGCCTGCAGCATGTTTGGGAGCCCGGTTTTGTCATAGGGCACAAAAAGTGTACCGTGGGTACCTTCTGGCCTCATGGCATTAAAGGCGCCTGTCGCGCCTTGTCCGGGACAAGCGCAGCATCCAGGACTTTGAAAGTCTGCGACACCTGAACCAGCGCTGTGTTGTTTCAATGGAGACATCAGCCCGTGGAGGAAAACCGTCAAACTGTTCACCCTTGCAGTGCGTGGGTTGGTGATGACTATGGCCCCTGGCCGCAGCCTTTGTGTAGTCTTGTTTACTACTTCTGTTGGCCACTGGTCTCTCTTGCTTCGGAAACACTTCGGCCTTGAGATGGAAGGGAAAAAAGGTTGTTAAACCAATGACAGGAGACTTTTTTCATGTTTAGTTGGTTCTTGGGCTGATTGCGTTTTTGGATGGCTCCGGCCATTTCTATGCATTTAGATCCCCATAAGACCGGTGTTGATCCTGCTCGTGGGAGCTACAACCAACTTATGACTCTTGGGAGCCCATCATTAGTGAAGGCGGTTCTGCATTCTCAAGTGGCCCAGCCTCTTCCTTGGCCTCTTCTAAGGTTTTGCCTTCCAAAGCAGAGCAACCTTGGTGAAGCTGGAGGCTACAGCGGCTACGGCTGCACCATATCTTTCACGCTGCATCCCTGAGGTGTGAGGTGCGTTTGCTACGTGAGCCATCCCCTTAGAACCCCGCAGGTTCTCCCAGTCACCGTGCTACTTTCGGTGAGCTGATTCAGAAAAAAAAAGGATTCAATGAACCCAAGGGAAGGTCGACCGACATAGCCCCAGGCTGATGCGAAGACCGCGGCTTTGGAACTTGCAGGATTTCAAGACCTCAAAGCGCGCATAACGGGAAAGGTTCCAAACCGGATAGCCCACGGATAAAACAGACCCTTTGAAACACAGTACATGGAACCTCCAAAATTGGCACTTACTTGGAAGAAAAATCAAGAATCGATCATGGGCAGATTCCTCTTCCACTTTTGCAAGCATCCCTATAGTGGTACCGTGGTGCTTCACCTCTGCCAGTTCAGCTTCCGGACGTGGCTCGCATCGCCGCAGAGGAGGCAAACGACGTCCGGTTCCTCGCCCTGATTTTGCTGGATTTCGGCCGATCAAAAGCAACGGTTGGCGGCACGAGATCCCCTGTTTAACCAGTATGAATCCAGTATGACAACTGGCCGGCTAAACGGAACAAGACGTAACACCGCAAACTAACCCGACACAGCCCCCACAATTGAACACCAAATGCTGGGTTGCCAGAAGCACTGGCTCGCTTCAGGCCTTCCTGGCTCAATGCCCGGCCTTGTCATGTGTAGATGCTGCCAACTCTTCTGCTTCCCCTTTGCCAGCACCTTTGCCTGCGTGATGCATCGGGCTCTGCCAGACATCGGGGGGCGCAACCGAAAAATTGAAACCAACCTAAGGCCAACATAGCAGCACACAGAAGGGCTTGGAAGATAACTTTCTCATTGCAAATTGCTTGTGCACGCTTCCGGGCTTCAAATATACAAGTGTGGGTAACGCCAAAACAAAAACCGGACAAACACAATTAAACAAATATCCCCCTCGGACCCTCGGATCTGTCTGACAAAAGGGCGTCCCCATGTTGAAATCAAAACATGAGCTGTGCCTGGACCCTTCTGGCTACGGGTGGACTTGGCTACGCGCACCCGAAACTCCTGGCAATGACGCGGCTGAATGAATTAAAGCACGCAAGAACTAAGCCATCGAAATGTTTGTTTGGGACTGCATCTGCACAAATGGCAGTTTCAAAGCTGCTGAAAGGGGCTTTCGTTTCAACAAGCTACCTAACAAGGAAGTGGGTAGCGCCCTTTTGGTAGGAAGCCTAGGTAGCTCGATGCCGCGAAGATGATAGACTAACTTGAGCTGTGGACGTTCATATCGACTTGCTACCGAACTCCTTTTGGCGGCAGCGTTCCTTAAGACAGTCCATTCCACTTGCAAAACAGCCGGTTTACAAACAGTTCCTTAGAATGAGTAGGTACATCGAAGGTATCATCGCGTCTATGAACCGTTTCTGGCACATTGAGCAAACAAAAGTACGTGTTTGGTTGATGAATTCAAAATATCTGGCAAATTGGCGTCAACAGCGCCAACAGCGCCAACCGTCTCGTTCTCTAAAAAACACAAGCGTTGAAACCGGAAAGCAAATTACAGTCTTACGGTGGCTTGTTGACATTTGCAACTTTTCGCAAGTCAGTCTTGGGTCGACGACCATCTCTAGCTCGCAGCCTCCCACACGCACCGCAATTGAACCACCGCGCCTCGCCCGCCAGTTCCAGACCTGAAACCAGGAGAAGCTCAGAATTGGGTTTATCGGGTTTTATGATGTTGAATGCGCATATAACATCAAGCTGCGCGTCAACCTCAGAGTTGATGCGCCTAAAGTAAATGTTTATTCACGTGAAACTTTCACGCAAGACCTCGGGAGAATCGTCTGCTGAGAACCTCGCCTTGGCCCCACAGGCGTATAGCGCGCTTTGCCTGGGTCGAAACGTGAGCTAATGAGTCTTTGGCCCCGTCGAGGGCTCCTCAACCGCTGGCAAGGTTCTAGCCGCTGGACATGTCAAAGCGGAGAATATAGGGCAGCCCAACCCGATATAATTATAGGACCGGATAACCCCACATTTTACCAACTTCTCTAGACTTAGACTGAGCAAAGAAAAGCAAGAGGGGAAGAGGAAGTATGAGGGGTGATGGAGGGGTGATGGAGGGGTGATGGAGGGGTGAGGGTGGGTGAGTTCGTGTGTGTGTGTGTGTGTGGGTGTGTGTGGGTGTGTGTGTGTGTGTGGGGTCAACCCCTGTTTCCAAGGGATTTGCGATTTTTCAGTTTTTCAGTATTTCAGTTTTTCAGTTTTAAGGCAGGGGGTGCAAGCAGCCCATTCAGTCTTGCACCAACGAAGACACTGGATGAGTGCTGGTGATATCTGCCCTGATCAGTCAGACGTACCTGCCATGAGACCATTTCGATTTCTGAATTCTGTGATTCATTCACAGCGGCGACCGTACTCAATTTGTCATTGTTTAAAACATGTTTGAGTACAACGGCCTTTTCACGAGCAAAAAATCACAAATCAATATGAGCCTCGTGAACAGACATTCTGTCTTACAAGCGTGTGTGTGTGTGCGTGTGTGTATGTATGTGCATGTACAGGTGGGTGGGTGATGTGAGAGGGAGTGAAAGTGAGAGTGAGAGTGAGAGTGAGAGCGAGAGCGAGAGGGAGAGTGAGAGCGAGAGCGAGAGAGAGAGAGAGAGCGAGAGAGTGAGAGTGAGTGAGTGGGAGTGAGTGAGTGCGTGAGTGAGTGAGTGGGAGTGAGTGAGTGAGTAAGTGAGTGGGAGTGAGCGAGTGGGAGTGAGCGAGTGGGAGTGAGCGAGTGGGAGTGAGCGGGTGAGTGAAAGTGGGTGGGTGAGCGTGGGTGAGTGAGTATGGGTGAGTGAGTATGGGTGAGTGAGTATGGGTGAGTGAGTATGGGTCAGTGAGTATGGGTGAGTGAGTATGGGTGAGTGAGTATGGATGAGTGAGTATGGGTGAGTGAGTATGGGTGAGTGAGTATGGGTGAGGTATCTGGTGAGTGAGTAATGGGTGAGTGAAGTATGGGTGAGTGAGTACATGGGGTGCGAGTGTTAGTTGAGGTGAGTCAGGGTGAGTTAAGTATGGTTGAGTGAAGTTGGTGAAAGTGAGTGGGTGAGTTGAGTGAGTGAGTGATGAGTAGTGAGTGAGATTGAGTGAGTGAAGTTGGGTGAGCGAGTGAGTGAGGTGGGGGTGAGAGTGAGTGACGAGTTGACGAGTGATCGAGTGAGTGAGTGATTCAGTGAGTGAGTGTGAAATGAGTGGATGTGAGTGAAGTGAGTGAGTGAATGCGTGGAGTGAGTGAGTGTAGGTGAGGAGTGAGGTGAAGTTGAAGTGAAGTGGGTAAAGTGAGTGAGTGAATGAGTGAGTGAGTGAGAGTGAGTGAGTGAGTGAGTGGGTGAGCGAGTGAGTGAGTGGGTGTGAGTGAGTGAGTGGGCGAGTGAGCGAGTGGGTGAGTGAGTCAGTGAGTGAGTGAATGAGTGTGAGTGAGTGAGTGAATGAGTGAGTGAGTGAGAGTGAGTGAGTGAGTGGGTGAGTGAGAGTGAGTGAGTGAGAGTGGGTGAGAGTGAGTGAGTGAGTGAGAGTGAGTGAGAGTGAGTGAGTGAGTGTGAGTGAGTGAGTGATTGAGAGTGGGTGAGTGAGTGAGTGAGAGTGAGTGAGTGAGTGGGTGAGTGAATGAGTGAGAGTGAGTGAGTGAGTGAGTGTGAGTGAGTGAGTGAGTGAGTGAGTGAGTGCCTGACTGAGTGAGTGAGTGAGTGAGTCATCCGACCCCTTGGCAATGGACATTGTCCCACGCGTGCCACGCAAAAGCGGAGACCAAGGGACACCAGAGGGACGCCAGGGCGACATGCGACCCCTTGGCAGTGGACATTGTCCCACGCCTGCCACGCAAAAGCGGCGGAGACCAAGGGACACCAGAGGGACGCCAGGGCGTACATCTGACCCCTTGGCAATGGACATTGTCCCACGCCTGCCACGCAAAAGCGACGGAGACCAAGGGACACCAGAGGGACGCCAGGGCGTACATCCGACCCCTTGGCAATGGACGTTGCCCCACGCCTGCCACGCAAAAGCGGCGGAGACCAAGGGACACCAGAGGGACGCCAGGCCGCACATCCGACCCCTTGGCAATGGACATTGTGCCACGCAAAAGCGGCGGGGACCAAGGGACACCAGAGGGACGCCAGGGCGTACATCCGACCCCTTGGCAATGGACATTGTCCCACGCATGCCACGCAAAAAGCGGCGGAGACCAAGGGACACCAGAGGAACGCCAGGGCGTACATCCGACCCCTTGGCAATGGACGTTGTCCCTCGCCTGCCACGCAAAAGTGAGTGATGTGTGTGTGTGTGTCTGTCTCTCTGTGTGTGTGTAACATCTAAATAGATGTAAATAGATGTAAAACTTCTCACTTTTTCTTTTCTTCCTTCCTCTCCCTTTCTAATTATAACTACAATTATAACGCAGGGGGTCACCGGGGGGGGTCGGTGACAACGAAGACACCTCCCCGGGACCCGTGTAAACGTACCTGCGGGGGCTGTGGTGACGCACCTGGGCGCATATAAGACGCAGCTGGTGGTCACCACAGTCCCATATATATATATATACACACGTAAGTAACTAGTCTAGGTGCATGTTTCAGGGACTCAGTTCCGGACGGATCTATTCAAAGATCCATTCTTGTCTAGTGTAATACCTATGGTGGCTCCAACACGGTGCCATAGGGCCACTGGAGGCAACCCCTTTGTGGGTGACTGCGGACAGACTTGACTACCGAATTTACACACTTTAACTTGGTAATTCGTTTAAGTAATGCGAAACAGTTGGCCTTTCGGTTTTATTTCGTTTTTGGAGAAATCCCGCTGCTCCTGCGGTCCCTTGTGATCCCTTGGAACGTTCATTTCCACCTGAGTACAAACGCGCCGAACAATCAGAAACTCCTTTTTCCCGCTGCAGCTTCAGCTTTTGATGTGATACATGACATGAGCGACAGAAGGCAACAGGCATGTCCTCTTCCTGCAGGTGTGGTCCCTTTGGTTTTTGGTGAGGTTAAACATTTTGTGCACCTAATTCGTTGGAACTCGTACAGCCGTTTAATACCTTCGGGCACGACTGGACCACGTTCCCGAAGGGGAGTAACGCACGACCTGTAGGTGTTGGAACTGAGTCCTGTTTTGGTTTTTCATTCTCGTCACCAACTAGTCCCCCATTTGGTCCCTAATTACCCTCCCCTCGCGGCTTCTCCGTAATGTGTTGTGGGGTTTAGGTGTGTGCTCTGTTTTTGTCAGGTCCGTTTCGCCGTGTAGGTTGGTTCCGGAGGTCTGCCTGTTCCCTTCCCCCCCCTGCGCTGTTCTGGCCGTTTGCCCGTCGTTTGTGTCCGCTTTTTTCCTTCCTCTTGCCTTTCAGGGTTGACCCGGCTTCGGCCGTGTGTGTGTGTGTAACATCTAAATAGATGTAAAACTTCTCTCTTTTTCTTTTCTTCCTTCCTCTCCCTTTCTAATTATAACTACAATTATAACGCAGGGGGTCACCGGGGTCCCGGGGGGGTCGGTGACCAACGAAGACACCTCCCCGGGACCCGTGTAAACGTACCTGCGGGGGCTGTGGTGACGCACCTGGGCGCATATAAGACGCAGCTGGTGGTCACCACAGTATATATATATATATATATACGTACACTTAAGTAACTAGTCTAGGTGCATGTTTCAGGGACTCAGTTCCGGACGGATCTATTCAAAGATCCATTCTTGTCTAGTGAGTGTGTGTGTGTGTGAGTGAGTGATGCGAGAGTGAGCGAGTGAGAGTGTGAGTGAGTGATGTGAGTGTGGTGTGTGTGTGTGTGTGGTGTGTGTGAGTGAGTGATGTGAGAGTGAGTGAGTGAGAGTGTGAGTGAGTGAGAGTGTGGTGTGTGTGAGTGTGGTGTGTGTGAGTGAGTGAAGAGTGAGTGAGTGAGTGAGTGAGTGAGTGAGTGAGTGAGTGTGTGAGTGAGTGAGTGTGAGTGAGTGAGAGTGAGTGAGTGAGAGTGAGTGAGTGAGAGTGAGTGAGCGAGTGAGTGAGTGAGTGAGTGATGTGTGTGTGTGAGTGAGTGAGTGAGTGTGAGTGAGTGTGAGTGAGTGAGTGAGTGAGAGTGAGTGAGTGAGTGAGTGAGAGTGAGTGTGAGTGAGTGAGTGAGTGAGTGCGTGAGTGAGTGAGTGAGGGTGAGTGAGAGTGAGTGAGTGAGTGAGTGAGTGAGTGAGTGATGTGTGTGAGTGAGTGAGTGGGTGAGTGAGTGAGTGAGTGAGAGTGAGTGAGAGTGAGTGAGTGAGAGTGAGTGAGAGTGAGTGAGTGAGAGTGAGTGAGTGAGTGAGTGAGTTGAGTGAATGAGGGTGAGTGAATGAGGAGGGACGGGAGGCGGACGGAGCGGACACAGAACTAAAAACAAAAACCCCACACGTCAATGTGGGGAAAAAACGTTTATCATAACAAATCTTGGGCGGGGCCTGCCACAAACAAAGTCTTGGACGCCCTGCAATAAAACCTTTAGCTTCTTACTGTATGTCCATATGCATGGCACTTAAAATTCAAAATCCACCTTAATCTTTAACACATTTACCAAAGTGCACCCAGTTATGGTGATTAACCCCTGGTATAGCTATAAATCAAGAGCTTTTTCCCCCCACTCGTTGGGATTGCCACCGCTGCCTCCTCAACACTGTTTAAGCGTAGGTAGCAAACCTCAAGGCCAGGATAAGCCAGGGCTGAATCTGAAGTTAGGTCTTGTGGCGGGATGGATAAAGGTAGCGCGGGACAATGTTTTCTGGAAAGTTGACTAGGTGCTCGGACGGAATAAACAAATCCCTGAGGGTGGACAATCCAAAGAAACTGGGGGAAGCCATTCTGAATCGGGGGTCTGCTTGGAATGCAGGTGGCGC